ATTCATTTAATAAAACCCTGTGATTGCTATCTAGAGTTGAATGATCTTTCCTTAAGATTTCATGCTCTTTCTATATATTTAAAAAATCAACTTTGAGGCTAACATGTAAGTTCTTGATCTTCCTAATTGAATTAATTTTTTTTTTTTTTTTTTTTAAAACTTCAAATAGCAGGTCAAAGGTAAGCTCATATATCTCCTCTTGATCAGAGTGATCAAGATAATCGTCAGCCATTAAGCACATGTTTGTTACATCTTATTTTTCTTCAATTTCAAAGGAGTTTGATGCTGAATCCGCCTAGAAAGCCTTTTGGATCCTTTTTTATCCTTCTTGAACTTTGGTTTTTCTTCACCCTTGGTTTTTATTCACCCTTCTCCTTTCTTAAGTGAGCTTTAAGAGTTAGGCAATCAGACATCAGGTGCCTTGGCTTTCTGCATTCAAAACAAATAACATTAGAAAAAACTTAAGAGCTTTTATTATTCTAACCATTGTTCCATTTCTAATGATGTTTTTGCTTTTTTCTTAAGAAGCTCTTGAATTGCATAATTATTAAAACAATATCATCCTTTTCTAAACCAGAAAAATTAGTGTAAGAATCATTAGCCTTTAAGGTTATAATTTTCTCCTTTTTTCTTCTCAAATACATTAAGTTGCCGTTGGTTCACTTGTTGCTCATAAGCAATGAGTGATCCAAGTAATTTATCAACTGAATAAACATTCAGATCTTTAGATTCAGTAATGATAATAATTCTTGTATCAAAAAAATGTAAACATCTCAGAATTTTGTTAACTTCTTCATAATTTATGAGTTATCTTCCTAGAGCATGTAAGGATATAATAATCTGTGTAAACCAAGTATACATTTCATAAATAAATTCAGTAAGTTTCATGCGAAAAAGTTCATAATCATAAAGAATAATGTTCAACCTAGATTATTTAACTTCCTTTGTTCCTTCATAAGTAATGCACAGTTAGTCCCAAAACTCTTTACCAATTGTAAAAGTGAAAACACGCATATAATCTTTAAATTTTAAAGCACAGAAAAAATAGTTCAGACATTTTTGTATTCAGTTGTGCTAAATCTCTATCATCATTAATGCATTCAAAAAAAAAAAGAAACTTCAATTTTAACACAATTTACCAATCTAAAAGGTGCATAATAACTATCTTGAATTAACATCCACATACGATAATCAATTTATTATAAAAAGGTGGACATGCGAGTTTTCCAAAAATCAAAAATAATATTATCAAAAAGATGTGATCTAGTAATTGAATATCCTTCCGGGGTGTTTCTATTTCTAAAGTTAGTCATGAATCTTAATTCAAAAGTTTTCTAAAATTTATAATCTATTAAACACTAGTGTATTGATTTCAACTGGGCATGTCCCCGTGATTTTTTCCTTCATGATTTTCCACATAAAAAATTAGTGCTTCTTTTCTCTTTATTTGTGAGTTAGATACTTGTGCAATGTTAAGATGAAAGTTTTTCCTACTTACCGCTGCAAATATTCTAGCCTGCAATAGTTTAGTGTCGTCTATTGGAACTCTAATCCCACTATCCTAAGCATTACTTCAATGGTTAACAAGCATATCAATCGTAATATGGGAGCCTCTCACTCCAACACACTCCAATTTAGGAATCAGTCTATGAATCAGGGATGAGAAGTATTTGTCTATTTTTATCTTGGTGGGTGAAACCCTGCTAGAGAAGGAACTTCAGGACATTCCCTATAAGATCGTATCTGAAAGATGAAAGATCATTCAACTTCTGCAAGAGACTCAACAACTAATATTAGCACAATAGGAGGAGATTCATCTCCATTACAATCTGCCACTAATAGGAGACATCCGACCTGAGCAATTTCAAGCAGCACCCCTTTCCTTCAATCAAAGATGCATGCCCTATCATATCAAGACTACAAATTTGCCAACACAACAAGCTCTATACATCCTTCTCACATAAGTCGGCCACCCCGCATTCCATCTGTTGTCACCAAAGACCTAACTCGACCTCACGTTGTTGATCTCCCACATAATGCTTTACATCATGAACTATGATGACTCGTTCGAAAAGAGTTCCCAATAATAGGTGGAAGGCCATCTCTTCATCAGTGAGATTTTAAGGAGTCATCAACAACAACAAAAGTCATCCTTCAATATCTCATTCCATCAAGCTTTAAAAAACCAAACATAAATTCTTATGATGGGATGTCGGATCCTTATGAGCATATTGATCCCTATAGAACCATCATGCATATCCAATGAGCCTCAAATGTGCTCCCTTGCCAAATTTTTTCAACTACCCTCAAAGGGAAAACTCAAACATGATTCTATTATATTCCTACTGAACTATTACCATGTTCATCAAGCTAGCCAAGGTGTTCCTCAAACAGTTTGTTGTCAATCAAAGAATTGTTAAAGATTCTTTTCACTATTTTAAGATTCGCTAAAATGAAGGATAATCACTTAAGGAGTACTTTCAATTATATCTACCAAAGCCCAACAAATTCTAAGGGTAGATCTCAAGTTACTGAGAAGAGTTTTCCTAAAAGGCCTCCGACCTAGTCCCTTTTACTTGTCTCTTATGCAAGACACAATTCAATTATATGCTGATTTAATTCATCGTGTAGAGGCGTAGATATCAACAAATGAAGTCATCAATGCCCACATGAAATAATTTGAGCAAACTTATGGCAAGCGTAAGAATGCGCCTACGATGGATAATTCATCCTCGTAGCGAACGAAATAGAGGAGCAGTAACCTACCTCTTCAACTCCCACTACCATGACGAGATCCTCAACAAGAGAAGTAATATAGGCCACTCAACACATTTTGAGCAAATATACTGATAGTTATTTGAGATGATGAAAATATTAAGTGGCATAATCCTTTGAAACCACTTGTGTATCTATATTAGACAAGTATCCCATCATAATTGTATAGATTTGGTTTCTTTTTTTTAGATGAAGAGAAGGAAAAGTACATAGATTTTCTACGTCAAAATTAAGATATTTTGCATGGAGTCTAACCGACATGTTTGAAATCGACCTTGAAGTTATCGTGAACTCATTCAAAGTGAATCCAACATGCAAGCTGGTTATCCAAAAATAAACAAAATTTTGCACCCGGTCACCTGCAAGCAATCAAACGAGAGGTTGATAAAATCTTGGAAGCTTAGTTTATACGAGAAGTGCACTATCCCACCTAGCTGACAAATGTCATACAGAGATAAATTAATCGCACTCATGACCAGACACCAACCAATAGACAAGAGCTGATGCAGAAGAGAATGGACATTAGGCCTCCATGACAGAATATGACGCAAGCCATGTGCGAGGCAATGTTTAAAATTGCGTATTCGGGTATTGAGACGTTTTTCATTCGTGAGGCGAGGCGTAAGCCTCAAGGCGTTTGAGGCGTAAGCCTCAAAATAAAAAGATTGCGTAAATAGAAAATGATAAATTTTTTATATACTAATGAGTGAATAATATAAAACATAAAAAAGTATAAGATATGAAGTGAAATTAAAATATCTCAATAATAAGACAACATGAAATATAGTTCAACTCAAAATTCTATCTTTTCCAAATCCCAGTATTATTTTCATTAACATATAATTCAAATTTCCAAAAATAAATAGCAATGACATATCACATAAGAACTCATAAGTCATCAGCACTGTCATCACTAAGGGGTTCTTCATTTGACTCATCATTATGATGAACTGCTCTCTTCCCTTCCTCCTCTCCTGTAGAGTCCAATGTCGGGCATTTACTTCAAGATTTATATAAGTTTTAATATATATAGCATGAGGCGTAAGCCTCATGCCAGTGAGGCGAGGCGGGCCTCAACCAAGTTGAGGCGCAAGCCTCATAAAAAAAACTCGAGGCGTAAGCATCGAGGCGTTTTTTCTGGAATTGCGCAAAGGCGAACCTCATATTGCGCAATTTTAAACCATGGTGCGAGGTGACAGTTTATAGAACTAATATAAGCCCATCAGAATGAGTTGTAATCATATGCTACAAAAGGACAAGAAGACAGCCTGCCCAAGATTACATCATCATTCATCTAGATAAGGCATAAAAGATTGAATGGGAGATGGTGCAATACAATTAGAACATCACATGAAATAATATCTTAATGAGGTCACAAATTTAGGAGGGGCCTAATGAAAGAATTATGCACCCCAAAAAAAAAGCCATTCATTCTTCTGATGATAAGGAATTAATGCAAAACTGCAGGAGTCAGGAGAAACAGTCAAAGCAGCTCATCCAACGGCACAAAGAAGTTCAGATGCTCACAAGAAACCTTGGTGACTATAACATATATTCATGCTCATTAAACCGCAAATCTATTTTTTAGCTTAAATCATAGTTAGCGTCATCAGCTTTATCCAAACAAATTAAGTTCAACTTTATACATCCATATTTTGCATTTACTACGGTTTGAAAGGGTTTAAATTAGTTTCATAAAAATCTTTCTCAATAACTTTCATCCTCTCACATTTGACTGCCTCTTTTCTATCATAACACTTCAAAATAAACTATATCTATCCTTCTTATGGTGTAACTTCTATCCTTTCATACAAGTCCAAAACATTTTATTCCACTTTTCACTACCTTACAATCAATAGATGTTACAGCCACATTAACTATAACATAACTACTGTATCGATACTTCCATGTTCAGCAATAAAGAGTTCACTAATTGACGTTTATATTCTAGATATGAAGTATGCATAGAAGACCAAGGAATGCAGATATATGCATCGAGCCTTCCACAAAACCCACATTAGCAAGGGCCTAATGCATAGAGAACACGATTTTCATTTACGGATATTATAATTTGTACTGAAAATTGATCAACATAAACCAATACAGTTTTATATCATACCTAAAGTTGACCAACTAACAAGTATTGTCCAGATGGTTCAAATTGGGATGCCAAAAGCAAAACCAAAGTCAGATTTCTTTGTGCACGGAAATAATGTCATTAACATTTCTTGATGCCACGTTTACAGAAAAATGAGCCAGAAACTAGAAATCCAACAACATCAAGGCACCATAAATACAACTACCATGTAAAGAATTACCATATAATGACTAAATAGAAACTGAAACACCAGCTCAGACCTAGACTTTAGTTTTAGCAAAGGATCATGTATCATATATATGTGACAACTAAACTGACCTTCCTTTGTCACAGAAACCCTAAAAAGGATTACATGCCTGTTAGAATTCATCAACATCTCCATGCCGAGACTACAGCAATCTCTCCTTGCTGCCATGACAGCATCATCGCAGCCTGGCGTTTTTCTACCTCAAAACCTCTAACTTGACTCTTCTTTAACAGACAATCTGCCAGAGTTTTGGTAAAGTTGCTGAACTGCATTGGTACAAATCCAGCAGAAGTAAAAAGTGACCTCCAAGGAAGAAACTTCTCTCCAGTTCGGTAACGTCCAAATATTGAGCTCTCAATCGTTGGTCGCAGCCAATGTTTAAAATTGTATATTCGGGTATTAAGGCGTTTTTTATTCGTGAGGAGAGGCGTAAGCCTCAAGGCGTTTTGAGGCGTAACCCTCAAAATCAATAGATTGCGTAAACATAAAATGATAAATTTTTTATATACTAATGAGTGAATAATATAAAACATAAAAAAAAACATAAGAAAAACATAAGATATGAAGTAAAATCAAAATATCTCAATAATAAGACAACATGAAATATAGTTCAACTCAAAATTCTATCTTTCTCAAATCCCAATATTTTTTTCATTAACATATAATTCAAATTTCCAAAAATAAATAGCAATGACATATCACATAAGAACTCACAAGTCATCAGCACTGTTATCATTAAGGGGTTCTTCATTTGAATCATCATTATGATGAACTGCTCTCTCCCCTTCTTCCTCTCCTATAGAGTCCAATATCGGGCATTTACTTCAAGATTTATGTAAGTTTTAATATATATAGCATGAGGCGTAAGCCTCTTGCCAGTGAGGTAAGGCGGGGCTCAAGGCGGGCCTCAACCAAGTTGAGGCGTAAGCCTCATAAAAAAAACTCGAGGCGTAAGCATCGAGGCGTTTTTTACTGGAATTGCGCAAAGGCGAGCCTCATATTGCGCAATTTTAAACCATGGTCGCAGCAAGTACCCCTCAATTCTATCAGTGATTTCAGGAGACACTCCCGATTCTTCTATGGAGTCGAGAAGAACGGCGCTTGACTGGAAGGAATGGAGGACATGGTGGGAGAAAGAAAGATCACCCCAATCATAACCAAGATTGGCTGAAATAAGTATCTTAGGAGAAAGCTGCTTGATTAGGAGGAGAAGGGCGTGAGTTGATATGTGGTGACTGCAAAAGCCAAATGCAAAGTTCACAGCAATGACCTCACCAGAATGCGAGGAAGAGCTAATTATTGCAGCAGGGTCGAACGATTCTATAGGAAGATAATTGAGCTCAAAGGGAACATTCAGGTTTGCAGCAAAAAAATTAAGGTTTTCTTGAATTAAGTGAAGTTCAAGCTGGTGATGTGAAGACATGGAGAAAAAGGCAGTGATGCGAAGCTGTAATGGCACTCCTGTGACAGCAGAACGCCTTTCTGATAGCTCTTGAAGGAGTGCAGGCCATTGGCTACCAACTCCAACATCAAAATCAATAATATGGATGATATTGGCGCCAGCTAGCTCCTCAAGAATAAGCTCGGTGGATGAAAAGCTTATGAATTTAAGGATAGGGGAGATCTCAGCAAAGGCTTTGTAAGCGCTAAGCTTGAGCAGGATGTCAAGTGGAGATGCAAGGCGGAAGCCGCATTGCTCACCACCTCTGTTCAAAATGGTGAGGAGTGCTTCCTTGATGTAGAATGCAGAGCGGATATAAGGCTTCCCGTAGGGGGGCGGAACCTGATGATTGAGCCGCGCCAATATCCTTTGGGCGCTAATGTTGTTTCCCGATTCCACTAGCTCAGCCGCTTCAAAGAGCAGGTCAATGACAGCATGCTGCAGCCAAGCAGACTCATTAGGATACTCGATAGGCATGGCGCAAGCACCCAAGTAGGTTTTAGGCATATAGTTTTCATGAGGGTTCTGGTTGATGATGAAGTTGGAGTTTGCAAAGGCTGGTGCTTTGAGGCAATTGTTTGTAAATCCAGAATTGGAGAGTAAGTTGGACGGTGTATCAGGAACCACGGGAATAATAGAACCATCGCCTCTCATTCCTCCAATGTGTTGGAAACTAAATTCCGGATCTAGGATCTCAAGCCCTATCCCAGTACCTTCAAGCCTTGCGCCTGCATTGGAGTCAACCATGAACCAGCGGGAGAAACTGTGCAGCGAGCGGAGTTTGGCCGTCTCGATCGCCGGAGGCTCTAAAAGCATGGAGTCCCAACCCTCCACGCTTCCGAGCGACATCGTGATGGGTTTCAACTCCGACGACCATTCTCCGTTGGAGGAGGCTGAAACCTGCTGACATTTATGGGCAGGCACATCGAATACCGCCGCCACACCGGTTGTATCGAAGCATGTCGGGGTTGAGGTCGAAGTCGGAGAGCTAGGGCTTCTTCGGTTATCCAGAACTGATCTGGGCTCTCCTCCCTCTTTGGAAGAGCTCTTCCTCGTCCAATTCGAGAAAAAGACCTCGTCCTCTAGGGCATGAAAGAGCATACCTTTCATCTAAAGCTTAGCATGCAGAAACCATAGTTGAAACGGGAAAATTAATCGGAGAGATTTCTCCATCTGTGGAAATGGGCGGGAATTAAAACACGAGAATATGAAGCAGCAAAAGAGCATACGGACCTTCACATGCCTTCGCGAGTCCTAATCGGGGAGTTCCATTTCCAAAAAGGATAAAAGACCGATAATCTTCCAGTTTGCAGATTTGCATCTTCGCGCCTGTCTAATTCCTTCCACTCTTCTTGGTTGCTTTATCTATGTTGTCCCTCGCTCACTCGCCCTCTCCCTACATCCCTCTTCCCTTAATCTATGTTGTCCCCCTCTCTCTCTCCCTCGCCCTTCATCCCTCTTCCCTTTCTTTTCTTGATATTTTTTCTCTAGCTATCTTATACGAATTATTATGTGTGGAGTTAGGACGTAGCTCTATATTTGAACACCAATACAATGCTGCCACGTGGTGGCCCGACAACCCAACCCGGTGAAATTATGATATTTTTCATGTGTTTTTCAAATTTTTGTGTGGCCTACAACCCGACCTAGTACATACATAAAAATTTAAGTTTTATGAAAAGGAAACCCACATAAGCACCCTTAATATATAGGGTTTAGGATTTTGGCGAACCATTTTTGCCGCCTGAGATAGGATTTCTCCTAAGAAGAAAATTGAGCAAAAACAAAGAGAAATAGGCTATGAAGATGGAAATCAGTTTGGAGGACGTCATATTCTATGAGGAGATGGAAGGCGTTATGCAAAATGTCCAGGAAGACTTACGTTAACGAATCATGGGAGATAAGTCGGGGGAAATTATCGGCAAATTTAAACTCCAAAGATGTTTTACTATTTTTTTTTTTGTAAATATAGAGTTTTTTGCTCCTTCGAAGTTCTAGTGCTCAGTACAAGCTTAGATTCAAGTTGTACAAGTTTAGAGAAATCATAAATTGTTGTGTATTATAAATATGTCATTTTGCTGTGTAGCACTATGTACCGTTGTGTATATAGCGGTACACATCAAAAGTAGTAGTATATTATTGTGTATTGCTTTTGTGTACCGTTGTATACTGCTGTGTACCTCTTCTATGTATCAATGTGTAATCTGTGGTACACAGTAGTACATAGCAAAAGTAAAAATACACAGTTATGTACCGCTTCTCCGTACCGTTGACGTGTATCATAGTATACCAATGTTACTTTTGTGTAATTTCATGCTTATATATCAATATGTTTTCAATATGTTTCTCTTTTGCACATGGTGTTTATAATTTTGAGAAGGAATAGTACGATATATACTGTCATTATGCTCATAATGTTGATTTTAGTGTTTGTAAATAACATCACAGTTACTTGCCTAATTCTAGGAAAATAAGATCCATGAACTTTGTTTGTTCGAAAGCTAGCTTTAAGAAGGGTATTAACTTAAATATCCAATCAAAATATCAAAAATAAAAAACCAGAACAAGGTGTCCCACTATGATTAGATTTTCAATGGACGAAGATGGAGTTTGGATTGTGCAAAAATATATAGAGTGTCACAATCATGAATTAGCAAAGCTGGAACATCAACATATGCTTAGATCATGTAGGAATATTAGTGATGATAAAGCACCATTTATTAAATTAATAATAGAAGCTAGGATAAAAACCATTAATGTATTTACCTACCTAGTCAATGAAGTTAGAGGTTTAGAAAATGTTGGATTCTTTAAGAGTGATGTATATAACTACATTTAGAAAGACAAAAGTGCAAAGATTGAGTATGGCAATACCAATTTCCTAATTCAACTACTCCAAGATCAACAAGTTGATGAAAACATATTTGCATGAGACATCCAAATTAATAAAGAGAATATACTGTTGATATTTTTTTTTGGATTGATGGATTGGGGAGAATAGATTATGACTGTTTTGGAGATATGATAATTTTTTATATTAGTTATATAGTTAATAAATAAAATTTAATTTGTGCACCATTTATTAGAGTTAATAATCATTGGCAGAATATTCTGTTAGTTGTGATCTATAGCAATAGCTAAGGCAATAGAAATCATATTACCTCAACATACCATAGTTTGTGCAAATGACACATCACCAAGAAGGCTCCATCCAAGGTGTGGTGCTTCAATAGCCACATGAAAGTTAGAAGTCTTTTTATAGGTGCTTAAGCAAGTGTGATTCCAAGGAGGAGTTCAAAAGAACCTAGGCTAAAATGATCAATAAAGGGGGCCTAAATAGTCATGATTGGTTGAACGAGCTTTACATGATCAGGAATAAGTGGTCAATAACATTCAATAATAATTATTTTAACATCTGCATTTTTTCAACAAAGCGTAGTGAGTTCACTAACAATATGTGCAATGAAATCTTAAAGCTAACAAGTTCTATAACTGATTATTTTATGGACTTAGAGAAGGTGATGATGACTTGGCTTCATAATGATTAGGATGAAGATTTCAAATGTAGCCAATCTGAGATAGTACCTTTAATAAAAAGTATCCTAATACTAAAGCAAACTGTCCAATTTTATTCAAGAAAAAATATATTCAATTTTTGAAGAAGAATTTTTACAGGGTGTGGATGGAATTAGGAGGAAGAATAGAATATGTTGACATGTCTAAAAATATAAACTTGATCTTAGATGGCAATATAAATAACTAAAAGTTTGTAGGCCACACACAAGGTGGATTTAAAAAATAGAAAGATCCACTAAACTACAGGCCTAAAAGTGTCTCTAATGAAAGATTAAAGAATCATTGAGAGAAGAGAAAATATAAAATAAGGAAACCTGTCGACCATGCCACTACAACATAGTAGTGTTCACTAGTGAGTCTAGCAAAGTTCTCAAACATACTTGAATACTTCATAGAAGAATACATTCTCGGGCTATCAACCAGCTAGCTTACACCATAATATGTAAGAATATTGAACACATTTTTATATAAGGTCACTTTGACCAATCCAATCCCTAGGATCTATTTAGACCCTAAATCTATCTAGTAAAATTTATCAAGACACTAGATCTATCCATACCCTAGGATCTACCCAAACCCTATGATGTATCCAGACCAAGACCCTATGATCAATCCAGATCTTAAATCAATCCAAATTCAAATCAAATCCAGATTATTAACCTATCCAGACTTTAAATCTACCCAGATCTTAATTTTAGCTAAAACCTTGATCTAGTCTCCAATCTAGCTTCAACCTTATCCAATCACTTATAATCATCCAAATAATCAAAAATTATTTGGATAATTCAATTCTAATCATTCAAATCCAAATCCTAATTAAAACCCAAAAATCCATATCAAAATCCAGGTTCAAAGTCCCTATCCGTAAAGCCTTTTCCAATGATTTTTTAAACACTTAAAACCCCAATCAGATGACCCTCGATTCATAATATATAAACTAAATACTGATTAGCCATTTTCTTAGGATCTATCCTCTAAATTTGAGCTCAATCTGAGGCCTCTAACCCTAGAAAGTATATTGAAATTCAAAGACTATAAAACCTTCAAATATTTACATCCTATGTCACTCGACCTGTTCCCTAATAGAATTTGAACTTGGAGTCTTCAACAAAGCCTCTAACCATATCCAAACCCTTAATTATGATTTGTTAAGTAGAAAAATGTATTTTTTGTGAACTTACTTTGACCCTTAATCGACTAGGGGTCAAAATGACTAAAATACCCCTTAAGGGAAATTTTGGAGTTCACTATAGACTTGAACATGTCCATTTTAAATTAAGCCTCAGAACATCTCCCAATGAAACCTAATCACCAATAGGATTATAATCGACTCAAGACCAGCCCTGGGTCAACCCGAATGGCCCTTTAATGTTCTAAATGGTTATTTTGAACATTTAAACCATCTTGACCCTTAAATCCACCTCTACCAGACCCCTTTTATCAAACCAAATCTTTTGAGCCCAAATACAGACCTTGGGTCAACTAGGTTGACCAAGTTAACCTAGGTTGACCACCTCAACCCTTAAGTCCTTACAATATTGAATCAAACCCCAAGTCATTACTAAACCTATTCAAACTTTTATGATCACATTCACCAATGGTATGGATTTGATTAGACCCACTCACCCAATCACCAGCTGACTTGGTCAAATGGGCCTAAACCTAGTAAAACCTGGCCAATTTAATTCAATCTAGGGTCTATATTTAAAAATAATTAAATCAAGCTTTTCAAATCTCAAAGACCCTTTTATCACATGTTTTGGACTTATCTAAATCCAACATGACTCATATCATGGTCATTTGAGCCAAGTCAATCCCATATTATTTGATCAAACCACATTAATCCCTCTTATATTCATTTAAACCTTGTATTTCTAGTCTCAAACCCCCTCTATTTCATCTAACGAACTCAACACTTCCATCCTATACTACCTTAGTAGTCCACTTGACTATTGATTAGTCAACATAGTCAAAAATGAAGTGAATGTGTTAAAAATAGTTAAATCTCCCCTAGAACCCATTACACTTAAAACCCATTTGATTCTAGCAGCTTAATCATGGTCAAGAATCTTCTAAGCACTCCCTAATCATGGCCTTAATCCCTATATTAGCCTTAAGTAACTCCTAATTCTCCCCATGTACTCCAAAGGACAAATCCCTTTCCACATCACATGTCATTTTTTTCCTTTGATTCTCTGCCCCCTAACAACTCTAGGGTACGTGGAAGGCATCAACGGAACTCGCCAATTGACCTCGACTATCCAATCAATCTAGAGAACCTAAAATGGGCCAAAGATACAAAAAGTGCTCTCATTCTTTTAACTAACTCTCCCTCACTATCAAAAGCTTCTCAATCCCAGCACCCAGTTTGTTCAAGCTTCTAACAAACTCCTCAATAATTTTCAAGCCAGATCCGACTGGTCAAAGGTGCCAGCGACGAGCCTCCAACAACCATTGCCTATCCAAGGCATAATAACTCGTAATGGAAAGCTTTTAATATTGTGGATCCTTCTAATGAATTATGCATGGACAATCTACAAGTTTAAATAGCCCTTTATCATATATATACATCAATTCTATCAAGGTAAAAAGCTAACCCTAGCTTATAACACTTAGCTTAAAATAAAGTTTCATTAATTGGTTTATAATCCCAAAACTTCTGTTCATTTCAAGAGTCTCTGTTTAATTTTGTTTTTAATTGATTGAGTCATTTTTTAGAAAAAATCACATTTTTTTATTAGTAATCCGTTCATAGTCTTGTCTCGTTGTGCAGAATCTTAGTCGTTGATCCCTCGATCAACGACTAAGATCTAACTATTTCGCGCATTAATCCAACCTCATGTATAATTCTGTTAGATCAAATTACCATTCGGCTCGATCCAGATCGTCTATTCAAAATGCA